GAGATTTTCACTGGGTGGATGTTAATGTATTTACTGGTAAAAGAGGTGGAGGGGTGCAATGAAGTAGAAGAGGATGATGTTGGAGATCAATGTGTGTGTGTGTGTTTGGTGTCACAAGGGCTGTCAGGGGTTAGGCCAGTAAATGAACAGCTGAGAGCAGTGATTTAGTCTGTATAAAAGCAGCCCAACTGTCATAACAAAGACACTCTGACAGCAGGCCAACAGGAGACAAAGAGGAGTCACTGGCCCCCAGGAGACCCCCAAAGACCCCTTTGGATACACATACATCCATACACCACACAAACACGCACACTTACACAGACAATGGGGAGTCAGCAATGGCCTCTCAGAGGCCTTGTGAGGGTCCAGGGTCCAGACTGAGCTTGGTTGAAAGGACCTGAGAGGCGTCCATTACAAAGCCTGGCAGGCGTCACAGGGGCATAGCAGTCAGTGGGTCAGCCATCACTAACAGCCTAAGAGGGTGATGCCTCATCAACAAACATCAAAAAAGATTCCCAAGTGCCATGCTGTCTGTTGGACTAAGTTTGGTTTGAGTCCACAAGTTCTAATTGTTAAAGACTACTGAAAATAAACAATAATAATAAAAAAGAATTAAAATCTAAGCAGAAGCAGAACAAAATATAATATTTGCATTCTTCTTTTTTGCCTACATTACCCACAATGCAACTGAACAGTAACAATCTGGTTGGAGATTCAGGTGCGTTATGTTAATGTGGCTAATGTAGCCTTGAGTCTCTACACTCAAGCAGAAATAAGAATATTACAGATGACTGGTGTTCTAACCACACATCCCCAGATTTATTCTTCAGCTGCAACCGGTGCTGACTCACATAACATCACATGAAACAATTTATCAGGTTTTACACAGCCCCTTCTGAAGACACTTTTTTCAAAAATTTCACTTATTTTTCACTTTTTTATTGGTTTAGTTTCCCTTTAACACTTATTATGCTTATTAATGGAAGACAACAAAAGACAGCAGTAGTGTGACATCATACCACCTTAAAATCGTTTAGCATGTCACACTTAGGGCTGATTTACACTTTCCATATCATTATAGCCACAAGAGCTAGTGTGATGATTGTGGTACCTGGCTTCTTTTAATCATGACCACAGTCTTTCTCCATACTTAAGGCCACACTAAAAAGTATATTTATATATGAATATATATATGAATCCAATGTGTAATGTGAAAAGGTTTGCTTGTAATGGCAAACCTATAGGAAATTGTCTGTGTTTTAATATCTTTCAGCTCATTGTTTTGGTTTTTCAACAAGAAGCTTTACTTTTCTGGTTCACTCTCCCAACTCTTGTTTCTCCTTCTTATTAGAAGCACTTATATTTCCTTCAGAAGCTGGTGGAGACTAAACCCAAAGCCAAAAGGAGCTTAAATATTGGACATATATTCATTTGGATACAAACATGACTGAATGCTAATGTTGCTGTATTTTGTAAATAGGCAACGATTTGCTAACATGTTTGCCATATCATATTAATATGCTGACAATATGCCAGTTTTGTGTTTGCAGGTTTCTCTGCTGCCCCCAAGTGGCCATAAAACAGTTTATACTGCTTTAACCACAGACAGGGCCAATCATTAATGCTCATATAGATCTATTTTGTCAGACCACACCTCCTCCTTATTTATCTCCTGTCTATACGTATATACTTATGTATTCTAGCCATTGGGTAACCATTGTTTCTCGTTACCCTCCCTCCTGTCTGAATTTTCCTCTCCTGTCATCTTCCTTTCATTTCTGATCTTCCTATCCCTTTCCATCTTTCCTCCTGTCTTCCTACTTTAGGGGATCATAGTATACCCGAGAGCTGCACGGATACCTCTGAAGCCTTCTTCAAACTGTTCAAACAAACATTAAGCTATAACTTAATTAAACAGTCACAAAGCGACATACAGTTGCTAAGCAATTAACGCTGAAACAACAGCAACCTAGCAGGCACCAAGCATCACTACCCCTTTTCATCATTCCACCTAAAGTCATCCTGGTGTGCTAATGAAACACCTCCAGTCAGGAACATCATAGTTCATAACAAATGAAATGGTTCTACTCCACTCTTTTCCAAGTTCTACTGGGATAATTCACCTTAAATCTCACAGAGGACAGGAAAAAACTAAACTAAACAAAAACAAATGAACTAAAGTTTTTCTTATATCCTGTTGCTGTGAAACATTTATTACAAAAATTCTATGAAGTTTTTCTCCTTACTTTCTTGTTCCCTGTTCTGTTAGTCAGCTGGTGTCCTGCAGATTTGCCCAGCTTGAGAAAAAGATGAGAGTGGCCCCTCCATCCTATTAGGCTCCAATTAATCAGCCTTTTCTTCAGAGTCATGGAGCGTGATGAGGAGAGTCATTGAGCCTTCTGTCACCCCCCCTTCCTCTACCCTGCTACCCATCCACCTGCTGTGGCTTTGTCTGTGGCTTTGGAAGAGCTTTGGCTTTCAGCAAAAAGCCAACACTGACCACACACTTCAACATGACGTGCACACATTCAAGCTGGCATAAAAGCTGGAAAAATCAGCTGCCACAGAGTGCTCCTCTTGTCAAGGGTGGAAATGCCACTGGAACAGGGTTTTGACTATGACTAGGGATGCCAAATGCCTACCCTGAAACTCACACTGCTGACATTTTCTAAGTTATGATTACAGGCCAGTTTCACTGCAGGTTTTACAGATTCAGAGAACAATTCTCCCACACCACCGTGGAATGATGTCTCTGCTCAGACATCTCATACAAAAATAAGCAATACACAGTCCAGCATACTTGGGTCATGGAATCTGATCAAATTGTAATTAGACCTTGAAAATGACTAAGAGATTAACAAGCATGAAATAGGTCTAGAGACAATCTAGTCAGAAAATGTGATATAATGAGAACTTCAGCCTTTTTACTGGCTGTGATTACTGAAACAGTACTCTCCCAACTGCTCCTTTAGCTTTCCAGCATGTGCTAATCTACAATGTTAACATGTTGTCACACTCACAATTTTCCATTTCACTTAATAATCTACAATTAATCTGCAATCAAAAAGGCCCTGCTTGATGTAGCAGCAGATGTGTAAGTTGTACAATAGGCTAAATATTATATATTATACTTATGATAGTAAGTTGATCCCATCAGGCTGGCCAGCCATAAGAAGCCTATATATCCTCCAAAGGGTCTTATATGAGTCTCCTGGCAGCTAAGAGGGTTTCATTCTGAAGATAAAAGCTGATGTTAGGGAAGCTGCTGGATGGAGGTGGCAGCTCTTCGTCCTTCTGGAGCAGTTTCCAGAGCATTTAGTTTTTATGCAGTCATGCTGACACTAAGGTTAAGCGAAAATTTAGCTAAGTTTTCAGGCTGTGGGCATCTGTTTTTTCCAGTAATCTTTTCATAAACGTGTTTACCTGTAACTGTGGTACCTGTAAATAATAATGATGTTAACAAATGTCAAAATAAAATTAAAATTCAATGCTAGTAAAAATGAAATTAAAATATCAGTGATAAAAACATGACTAACGTGTTTATTATATTTTGTACACTAAAACCAAATGTTATAAAAAATGTGGTGGAGACATACTGGAAGTTCATTTATTTATCTTCTCTTTACTTTGTGCTGTGCACTTTTTCAGTCAGAAAAAAACTTTGTTATACACTCAGTGGCCACTTTATTAGGTACACCTGTAGAACCAATCCATAGCAGCTCTTCCATGACAAGTGCTTTTACAAAGCTTATAAAATTCAGTTTTTAATTTCAGAAATTCAAATATAAATTCAAATATATGTTTATATGTAAAGGTGGTATTGTATTGAACTACATTATATTGAGAGGTATTTAAATTTATTTTTTTTTGGCTTCCCTACTGACATACAATAGGTTATATGAGCAGGGCAGAGTATTAGTAACACCTGTAGATGTAATGCAGTGTAGTACAAGACCACCACTAATTATGACCTCTACGTATATATAGATAGAGAGAGAGAGAGAGAGAAAAAGAGAGAGAGTGGGCATAATAAAAATAGATGTCATTGTAGGATTGTGCACGTGTACTTAATAAAGCTGGTGCAGGTTTCACACAGCATAGACTGATGTGTACCAAATAAGTATAAGGTCTACTGTGCTGCAAGAGTACAGATAAACATATTTGACTAATGATGTCATGTGAACAGTTTCCTCATCAGCAGGAGAAAAGTGAGAAGCCTATGTTAGTGTGTGCGGTGTCTCAGTATTGAAAGTTTGTCAATGGAAACACCCTATGCCATCCCTGAACCGATAAGGAATGTATTGCAACATAATAAGTGTGCATGTCAACATGTTGAGAGGTCCAGGTCCTCGGGATATGCTCAGCTACTGTATCAGAGCCATTTCTGCACAGGACAGGAAATCAGATAGTTGCCTTCAGCTGAAGGTTAGTCCAAGTATTCCAAGCATTAACCACAGTACCAGTGACAACCAACAACCAACAGCTCCAGCCTGCTGGGCCTCGCTCCTACCACAGGTTTTCCTGCCTTGTTTAGCCTAGTGTCACTTTGGGCCCCACATAAACACATGCACACAATTTCTGAGGTTAAACTTAATTCCTTGACTCTGCAAATGTATGGTATTCAAGAACTTAAAATGGAAGAATTTAGAAGTTTTTAGAAGTTTTAGCTGCAATAACTTGCAAGAATTGTGCATACACGGTATTAAACAGTAGCTATCTGAAATGACAATATACAGAATAAGGGAAGATTATTTTTGAAATGTAATAGATTACATATTAGTAGTTACCCTGTTAAAAATGAAATAAGTAATGTAATTATTTTAATTACTTTGTCAAATAATGTAACATTGCTTTTAATTACTTTTCTAAAAAAATGTTTTAAACAAGACAGTAAATCTGAAAAGTCCTAAAATAATTTTAAACCTTACAACTGCACTCGACACTTCAGATCGAAGCAGCTTTATGGTTGAGAGGACATCTCTTCACCATAGCAGAATATCATGTCGGGGCTCCTGAAGACCATTGCTAGCCATGTTGCTCCTGCCCTGAGGGGATGCACCGTCACTCAGAAGGCTACTCTCTACATTAGACCAGCCAAGGAAAACATCAGCCCAGTTGACATTTTTGTTGGAATGGTCATGTTCTCCCTGACCATCCTGGGACCATCTGGATGGATCTTGGCCCACATGAAGGACTATAAGCAGAAACAATAAACTGGACATTTTAACAGTTGGCATAGTCAATTTCCTGGCTCCAGTGTCAATCTGGGACCATCACTATTGTCTTATGCTGCAGAGACAAATACGAACAAGTTTAACCCTCACTCTTTTATCTCCCACAGGTCACTTGTTCTTAATTTAATCATAATAGTAGTAGCATAGCTGCCAGTTCTCACTTAATGCCACTGGTGTTGTAGAGGTTATAATTTATGGAATAGATGCCCCAGTCCTCTGTTACCATATAACTGTTACATTATGTTATATTATTATGTTATCTTGTTGATACTGCTGCAGCCTCCCTGCATACAACACTTGATACTGTTGCCCGTCTGATAAAGAAGGCAATGAAACAGAGGAGGCCCCATGGTACAGCTCACAGCTCTGCTTCCTAAAGTAGGCATCGTGGAAACTGAAAAGGAGGTGCCACGCCACTAAGTTAGACGAACCTTTCCTAGCCTGGAAAGATTGTTTAATAAAATATAAAAAAGTCCTTCGTAGTGCCAGAACTGCATATTATTCATCACTGATAGAGTTTTTTGTCTATTGTAATAATAATAGTAGTAAGGTTTACTGCAGACCTCACTTACACGTACAAATAAAATTGAATTGAACTGAAATTATGTGAACTACCACACTGTACATTTTATCATGTAGCCCACAGGTTACTGCATGTAATAATATGTGCACAGTGGCTACAGCTATGCCTGCTAAGTAGCACTAGCTAACTGGCATGTTAGCGGGTCTCCGAAAACATCAAAGAAAATTTGTAATTGGCATTATCTGGATAAACTGAACACTTACTAGAAAACTAGATGGTTATTTTCTCACCTCAGATGAGAATTATAACTGCTTTTGAGCTACCCTGTCACCACCATGGGATGAAGGGATAGCATAGTTTGTATTGGTAGGTCATCCGTGTACTACAAATATTTTTCTATACTAAAAATTTGGACGTACTACTTGTCTCGGCTACACGAGGTAAGATGCAAGTAGGGAATTTTGGATGAACTGCTACTGCTGCTGACTGCTGTGGAGTAGGGCCCTACTAACCCATGTCTATGATCTGAAGAGGGACACTGTGGTCCTACATCGCCAGACTAGGCTACTGGTCTCTGCGATTTTCCTCTGTACACCTCTGTGTGTCTCTGGATTGGACTATCAGATGGCAGATGGGGATTTAGGGTTGGGGATCTTTGCTGTATGAGGTCAAAGCTATGGTATTTCCAGCTGGAACTCCAGTTCCACGGAAAACCACAGTGTCAAACCCAAGATCCCCAATTACCCGTAGACATATATAGATACACAGACACAAACCAGTGCCATCAAAGGACAGCAAGGCTAAGCCTTGCGGTTGTCTTGTGGACAGTGTGAAGGCACACACTTAGCTTTGTTATGTACAATCTATTGACCTATAGTGGTTAAGGTCAAAGGTACATTTCTCAGTATAGAACATAAGGAGATTCATATTTTGATTTTAGAGAGAGGACCAGTAATCGCTTGGGAGGAGCAATGTTTCAGAGCAGGGATAATCATGGTTTGAAAAGGTTAAACAACATTTGGTGATTCTACACTATCAGTTTTCTTGGACTGGGACAATAAACAGTCTGAGGTTGCATCAATCAAATTAGGGTGGGGTTGTGGCTCTGCAGAGATTTATTACTCCATTTCTTTGTTTGACATGAAATAAAGACAACAAATCCTGGAGCAGAGATTTACAGGCTGATAAATATAAGGAATTGATCAACCTAAGGGTCATAGCTAGTTTGTTAATATATTTCATGATGAACTGTTGTTGATAATGTAGACTGCCCCTAGAAAGTCCACCACTTTCATTTGGGTATGGGCTTCAACACATAGGCCTTAGATTGTTTGTTGTGACTGCTAGTGACACAACAGCTTCCTTCACAATCCTCAGTGGAGCAGGACACCAGTGTTTCCCTTAGCCACACAAATGCTGACAAGACTGCCTTCAAACCACAACCCTCATCTCGCTTCTGTTAACCCATCTTTATAGTATGATTAAGAAATAAAGGCTGGGAAATAACAACAAACGACTTTTCTGTCACATACCTTCAAATGCATTCACATATGGCAGCATAAACGCACACACACAAGAGTGTGCTCAGACATAAAACCACTGGGCTCCGGAGACAAAAGCCTTGTCATGCTCTGGTGGGGTCTCGTCATTAATCCACATGGCTTTAGGGTTGCAGACAGCCGACACACAGGCACACACACACCCACACACACTGTAGATCTATATGAAAGAAATCTGACACACACACTGCCTGGATTTGTGGATACATCCTTACACACACTCACTCTCTCTCTCTCACACAGACACAGGCAGTGGTGTTGAGTATCCGGCTGGCTGGGTGTTAAGGCTAAGCAGAGCTACTGGCGACGGGCTGGAGAGAGGAGATGGCTCACTAAGCCTAATCACACAGGGGAATCATGTCTGGGGCACCTGACCATCAGACCTCTCAGTGTGTATATGCCTGTTTGTGCATGTGCTTGCTGACTTATATGTGGTTTTGCATATATATTTGGGTGTGTGTGTGTGTGAACTCCTGATGAGGGCAATCAGGCTAGGACTTAACACCCTGAACAAGGCAGAAGAAGAGGTGCCAGAGCAGGACTGTTGGTGTCTGAGCAGAACTGAAATCGAAGGGGGTGTGAGGGTGTTGTAATGAGTCATCCAGATTCTTACGGGCAAATCCTCACACAGCCAGAGAACATATGCCATACCCTGAACACAGCTCATCCCATAAAACTCAGCATCAATTATTTTAATCCCACAGATCAAAGATAGCACATAATGGTTGATGGTCATTTGTTCTGTTCATCTGATTATATTATCTGGAACCTGCAGGGTAGAGAAAGCTACGACTGATGTTCGGTTTACTCTTAGTGTATATAACAGTCAACCCACTGGAATGATAGCAAATTTTAATCAATAGGGGAGATACTGGCTGACACCTGAAAGTTCCTCCTCTGCTAGTCCAGACATCAACACAACCAAGTGACTAATCCATCCAGCCTGCAGTGAAGTTGTTGTCACATAGTGATCTACAGAAGTGGGCATGCATATGCTTATATACAGTAAGGGATATATCATAGTGTGTTGTTAATTATAACAAAATATATATTGTATGGTGAACCTGAAACACTGACTGCAGCATCAATTACAGTATACTAAGAAAGGTTTTTTTAACCATTAAGAGTGTTTTTATCCACTTGTTTTATTCACGTATTGAATTTTCACATAATAAAAACAAGTGGAAAAGGCACAAATGAGAGAGAGAAAAAACACTGCAAAGGAATACTTGAAACAACCATAAATGTCATATTTCCATCACATTTTTGCACATTGTTTGACTGGCACTGATATAATGACATCATCTCTTTTTGGCCTATTCTTGTGCAATGGGCCAGTGGTACTCACTGGGGAATTAGCACCATCACACGCATTAATTAACACTGCCAAGAGTAGGGGTAATGTTTTTACTGCTGTTTGCTGGTTTGTTTGTTCACTGCATGACTCAAATACAATGAATGGTTCTTGGTGAGATTTTTTTGGAGTGGTAGAGTTTGGCCTATGGAACAACAATGATCCCTATCATTATTTGGATGTAGGAATGTTTTTAAGGATTTTTCACCATTGTGAGAAAGGGCCAATTCATAGTTTTCAGTCACATGACTGGCACAAAGCCCTGGAGGGCAAACAACCCCTCCAACATGTAGGCTAACACTGGACACTCGATACAACTGCAGCACAGGCCAGGTAATATTCTATTTATGTTCTATTTTTCTTTGTGCCCAAATTTCATCGCCTATCTTCTAAATCTACCCATAGAGAGAGAGAGAGAAAGAGAGAGAGCAGTGGTTGTCGAGTGAGGGTGAATGAAGAAAGGGAGTGGCACTACCAAACAAAGCAGTGAAGAAATAAAATGTTATTTTTTGATTGTTTCATAGTGATTACATTGTAAAGCACAAATAATCACAGCCACACCTCTGCACAACCCTGTGAGAAGGATGTTATGTGAATGTAGTCAGAGCACAGGCTCCATCCTCCTGTCTGCCCTGTGCCTTGTGCGTGCATAACTAACCCCTGCACTTGATCAAACAGACAGACACACAACTCATATTAGACAAATTATATGGGAATATTGCTTTTAGTTGTAATGGCACTATGGGGAAACTGAGCTGGAGGTTTGTGCTCTCTGAGGGTTGTCTCTCTCACGTTTTCTTTTATAGATTTCCTGAAAATTTACTTAAAATTTGTACTACATTTGGATGGAAACATGGCTATTCTCCAGCTTCTCAGCTGTATCGATGTTTGACTTTTTGTTTTGTTATGATTGTAAACTGAAAATCCTACATGCTGTTTGGCAACAAAACAAGACAGTCAAGGGCATCGTGCCCTGTAACATCACCAACTCCAGACAAAAATATTAGGGTTTTGCTAAGCCTCTAAATTTGTTCACCAGTTATTCTGCAGTTTGGTATTGGTGTATTTAGGGTATCGTGGGTTTGTCTGCTTTTTTGTTTTAAAAGATTCTTGATGAAAGTGTTGACTGAACTGTGAGATAGCTAAAAATGAGCTAAAACAGGCTTAAGGATGTGTACAGCTGCAGAGTTGGCAGTTTAAATTCTTTATTTACAGTATTTTAATACAGCCTTAAGCTTTTCATATTGTCTATATTATTTTCACATTACCATTGAGTTAAAGGTGGTGGAAATGTTAAACTCTAGCATTAAAGCATTTTCTTGGTTAATATGTCGCTGTGTCCACATAACGTAGTAGAGTTACAGTAGCTCTCCTTGATTTGAATGGAAAATAATTTTCCAAGTGATCTGTTACTTGTGGTCACACAGAGATTAAGGGTGAGATGTTTTAGAAGAGTAGTCAGTGAACTCCTTTGAACACTGGTTGGTGTTGGTGTGAGCAGAGGTGGAGGCTGAAGGCAAAGACAAAGTAACGTTTTGTCTGA